AGGCCTTAGGTTTTTACATTTGGGGGTGGGGGAGCAGGGAAGCTATTGACTTATTTTTAGAATATAGGGTTTGTGGAAGAAGTGTTTTCTCAGACTGTTTTTTTTTCCATGACCTTCTACCACAGGTGACCAAGAAGGTAACATGTAACATTGAGATGTAGTACGCATGTGCAGAGAGAGCACATGTGACCTTGATGCATAATTCGCATGCATGAACACTTATGTCTATAAACTAGACTTAAACATGGCCCTGTGCTGGCTTTGTCTATACATCATATAAAAACTAATAGGGCTTCTGTGGGGAGGGGACACATTCACTGGCCACTCATGGGATGCAGGGCCAGTGTTGCACCAGAGCCCAGGAGGGCTACCGCTGCTGGGAGCATAGCAATACCAAGTGAGATACAGGAATTTTATTTTCTGTTTCTGGACTTCTGGGTCTGAAAGATTATTCACTTAAATATCAAAAGAATTTTCACAGAAAATTAGGAGACAATCATTCTAAGTATAGACTCCCTGAGCCTGCAAAATAAAACTCTTTATAGATCAGTCAGTTAAAAAAGCAAAACTGCATTCTTAAAATATGCACTGAAACGAACAGATAACAAAATACTTATTTTATTGTTGTAAAATTAAAAATAGGCAAGCATATGTAGTTATACTTCCAAAGCAGAGCAATACAAATATATAAATTATTGCAGTTTTAACAGAGGAGTAACAGCCAAATAAAGTCTTAAACCTTTGAAAAGAAACTTTTTTCCCCAGAGCAGTTTTTCTTTTTCCAAACATCTTAGCACAATTTTGTATAATAAATTTCTAACACCAAAGAGATTAAGTTCAGTGAACACAGATATGCTCCTTAAATGTACAGGGTAACACACACAAACTGTGAAGTCAGGAATGGCAGAAACCAGAAGTCATTACTAAACATTTTCCAAACTGCCTTCCTGGAGGCTAGACTGCAAAGTATACGTGTATTGAGAAAGAAACACACATTCACTAAAATTCTCTTATGTTCAGTTGAAGAAAGTTCAATTAGCACTTTTTTGGGGGGGGGGAGACTGGAGACAATACTCATTGCTTTTACTTTTTTTCATTGTTTTATTTAAATTTAAAATCCTGAGCTAATTCAGTATCACTGAAGTGCACTTGTAACCTGGACTCTTTTAAAATAAAATTTTAAAAAATAGGGAAAGTATGTTATAAAGTATGTGACTATGTGCTCAAAATCTGAAAGTCAGACATTTGCAATACATAGCAATGACCAAAATGGTTAATAGCTTAGACTAGATTATAAGGGCAATTAAGAAAGGATAAAGTGAATGAAAATACTGAGAGTCAAGACAGAAGCTCCTATGCCAAAGATGATTATCTTCTTCCTCTAACATGCTTTTTACTTGTGCCAGAGGGATCTTATTATTCTGGCAAATGAAATCCCACCCCACATCAAAAAATTTATTTAGCCAAGAGTAACTTTGAAAGTTTTACCTTTTACTTATTTTTAACCACAAATCTCCTCAAATAATTACCTCCACCAAATGCAACTAAACTTTGAAACAAAATTATGTCTGCTTTACAGAAGCATCTGAAGAAAAGCTTTTAAAAAAATTTGTACTGAACTTTTCCTAAGTATACTTAAAACACTCAAATATCTTACTTTATTATAAGCAATAACATCAGTAAACTCTCATAAATCAGAAAAAATAACACAAGTTTACACTATATTATTTAAAAGGTTTTATGTCATATAACCTAGTTTTATAGTCACTACCTGACCCTCTTACTAAGCTACACAAATTATTCTATAAAAATTCCTAGTTAAGTTTATAGCATACACATTTTGTGTTTCAACATTAATAACACAGCAGAGAGTTCTGAAACAAATCAAAGCCAAACTGGTAAACATTAACACAGAAAACTTTTTTTTCTTAAATCCAGTAAAAACTGACAAGTTTCAATAGTGTAAACATCAAAGTAGAAATATATAAACAAAAAAAGAAAAGAACCTGAAACTATTTTTCACTGGTAGAGAATATGCTGTAGGAAGAAGCCCTAAGAAATCTCAAGACACCACCAACAAAAGCAAAATATATATGACTAAAGTTCTGAAATCACTTTCCAACATGAATTTATTTTTTGGAAAAGCTATACAGCAATATTTATTAAGAAACTTTACACCCTTATGCCCAGTAGTTCATTTATATTTAACAAGAATGAACTTGTTATATTAAAAATAATCTTCATGTGTATATAAAAATGGGCACTTTGTGGTGAAATGATACATACTTTGAAAAACTAGTAACAGTTCTCAGCTCCAACACTGTGTACAAGAAACTACATAATGGAACATTCTGCTACCTGCATCAGCTACTGGTAACTTAGTGCATGTCTTTTCTTAAAAAAAAAAAAGACTAATTTGGCTATTAAAAATTAGGGTCACAGAATGATAACCTCAAAACAGAAATTGTTATCTTAACTGAAAGACTGAACAGATTTTAGTTTTAAAAAGTGTGTGATCACACTGTGCTATCAAAATCACTTGATTTCAAACAGTATCACTTTTGATTTTTAAACTCAGCTTGTCTGTGAAATCAAATGCTAAAAGAAAATACCTTATTTCTCCCCTCCCTCCTTAATTATATAAGCTCTGCAAATGTCAGTAGTGAATGATTGGTAGTCTGTCTTTTGCCATTTTCGACACTGAAACTATACAGAACAGCAGATATGGTAACCAGTATCTGTGGTATCTTTTGTTCTCTGAAGGAAGAGCTCACCTCTGTTCTTTATCCAATTTTATCCTATTAAATAAGTGCATATTTAATTAACAAAGGAATATAAATTCACCAACTATCTGGATAACTGCCGTGCAAAATACTTTTAAGTTAATTTATTAGAATATTCATCTGAGTAAAATACTAGAGTGAGTACCAGCAGGTATTTTTAAAGAGCACCTTTCCTTCAAAGATTTAAATGGAATAAATCAGAGTTCCCTGTTAGACTTGAGTACATGTATGATCCTATCCAGTTGTTCCAAATCCATTAGGAAAGCTATCTGTTTGAGAGAAGCTCTTTAAGAAAAAAGCACTTTCTTTGGATAACACTGTTGTACTCAGGAATGCACCAGATGGCTCATATTCTGGAAACAGGTTATTACTGGTATCAAATGCAACACATCCCAAACTTTTATGGCTGTCCCTAAGTGATCTAAATAGAAGCAGAAATGTGTACAAGCACATATTCTTAACAAATTATGCCACACTTACATAAAATTAAATTTGAAAGTGTGACCCTAACATCTAACCACTAAGATACTGGCATCACCAGGAAATGTCTTTTTCAACTTGTAAATTTATGTATTTTAATATTGCACACATTCAATTTAAAGCTTATCAAAACTAAGGCAATGCAACACTACTCCCTGGATTTTAAATTCATTTTGGATAATGTAAAGAATCCAGAGAAACTGAAAGCAACTTTCAAAAGCTCCCTCCATAAAGCAGTTATGTTATATTATAAAGAAAACAAAATCAGTGAGATATCAGTGAATACCTTCCCCCACGTCCAAGCAAATTGAACTCATTTTGGCATTACAAAAAAGTTGTTTCCTACCACATTGAATCATTTCTTTGCTTAGTCAAAAACTGTGTTCAAATTTCAAATCTGACCCAGGCTAGGGCAGGCTGCCAAATATAAGGCAGAAGTCATTCTTTCATGTCTTTATGCATGAAGCTGTCAAGTTAATGGGCTTTTCTGTAGATTTTTTCAAGCAAAGGCTCAATTTCATGAACACCTTCTAAGCACCCGTTGAAAACACAATTTAGAGCTCATTTTAATTCTGCATTGGTGATAGTTTTTACTATAATACATCATTAAGAGACTTATCTGGTGGTTAAAAACTCTTTGGAAACATTATAGGCATCTTTTAAGAATATCCTTTTAAAAATGGGATTTTAAAAAAGCTAGTTTTATGTTGTGTCAAGCAATTTTCTCTTTTTTTCCTAGATTCTAAGATTTATAAAAATACCTCACAGTGCTTTTTGGGGGCACTAACTTCAATGATATTGGTAACAGAATTTGTACATTTAAAGATTCTTAAAATTTCATCTGAATTAGCACACAGAATAACTTTCTTTTCAAAGACAGGGCAATTTTACAATAAATTCAATACAAAGGTAGATACCTATATTTGATGTGGAGGAAGACTGGCTTAATACTGTCTAATTTCTAACAAATCACAGTAATTAGAACAAAAGTAACAAAATTCCATGGAGACAAGTTGATATACAAAAACTAGATTAGCATTTTCTTCCTGAACTAATGCAGAACTGCTTTTGATAGAAAAAATATTTTTAAATTTTCATGTATATGGGCTTTTAAAAAGTTAATTCCCCCCTCATAAGAATTCTTATGAGGTTAAAACAATTCAACTAGATTTTTATTTCAAAATACATTTATCTTTGGAAAATAAGGTCATAGTTGTAAAAATGGTATATTAGGAGAATAAAATGCAGTGATTTAAAATATGGGTGAACATACTCACACATGAAATTTACATATACAGAGCCATTCAAATACACATTTATAAAGAGAATGGAAAGATAGCTAAAATAGCACTTTATATATAAAATTTCCATAGTAAAATATTGCTCATAATAAATAAGGTGATGAGTTCATTTCCCACTTACAAGTTACCCTTAGTAGTTTAGACTAATTTAAGAAGTTTGTTAACCTGCTATTGTTTGACAGGTGAATTACATTAAAATACATAGAATAAAATTGCACTATACCAATATGTTTAAGTAGTCACATGTGGTACAAGTTAGGGAGGGCCATTTAGTAATTATGGGAAAAATTCCCCAAATGAACCAAAACAAGTAACTCTAGAAGTCTAGAGAGTAATAATCTGTTTTATTTCACAAAGATGTTAAATATCACCTTAAGCTCCATAAAAAATGGACCACAACTTTCTTCAACTTCTTTGAAGTTGCATGTGGCAGATCGATGCATGACACGGCAGTGTGTTTAATTAGTTCAACTGTTTGTGGGCAGACACCCTCCCCACTTGCAGACACGGTAACTTGGAATAGTTCTTGAGAAGCTGTTCGATGGCGACATGGCGGACATGGAGCTCTGAGGCCAAAGAATCTTTTTCTTGCACTTGGTGTGTTAACTCCTCAAAAACCTCTGTGAAGATTTAAAAAGCAATTTCAAGTTTTATACACAGAAAGGTCATCCTGTGGGACTTACATTGTTTTTAAAAAAAATCTTTTATCTTTTACAGAAAACCCTGAAATATTCACATTGAATAACATGTTGTTTTGAATTTGTTTCAAAATAACTCATGATAAGAATGGGGATGAGGGTGTGAAGGGAGTGGCTAAAAATACAAGTGGAGTGAAGAAAAGTCAGTTATGCTGGTGGTTATGTCAAGAGTTTCACTATACTTTTTTGCTACTTCGGTGTTTGAAATTGTTCCTAATGGAAAGAAATAAATACAGGGTTAATTCCACCTGTCTAGAATAACCATTAAATAAAATGTTAGTTAAGAGGTAGAGATTTAGTCATAATCTCCATTCTCACAAGAAAAACCTATTTCTCTTGCAGTTCATAAAGCAGTTGTTTCCTTATTCTTTTTGCTCTGAAAATTAACAGGCTATAACCCTACTTTTAAATGTATATTCAGATGAAACTAATGATGCCCTGCCATAGGAATTTTTTGTTTCAAATTTTTTATATGTATCTAAAAAGCATTGAGACTTATTCTTTACCCTGTATTTGCTGTCCAAGCTTTGCAGTCAGCTGCTTTACCTCACCAAGAGTCATGGAGTTCACTGAAACATGAAAATACATCCATTTATACAAATTGGGAAAATAAGTTGCATATATCACAATAAAATATCCTGTTTAAAAGAAATAGAATTATCTGCCAACACGATCTGCTGCATTACCCTAGGATTCATTCATCAACTCCTGAGATGTGGAGCTTTCAAATCTTGACCACAACCCCTAGAAAAGAACATTTTCCTTTACTCCCAAATACCCCCACCTGATTCAGAAGTTTCACCCCAAAATGCTGACTATTGGGTCTGCTAACGCTTCCTTTTCTGTTTCAGTTTTTGAAAAGTGCTAGTCACTATCCATTAAGCTGATAGTGTTCAAGTACTACATAGTTCACAACCTGCAGCTTAAAGTGAAAATATCATGGAAACATTTGAACGATCAATTTATTTAGCAATATAGTTTTTGATAATTCATATGTAGGATCAAAAGTTTTATGAAAGCATACTCAAGGTCTCATCTAGCTCCAAAATCAATTTTTAGTTAATTAAAATTATCTCAGATTCTGTGAATTTTTATAGAAATAGATGCAGATTGAATGAGTCACCTTTCCAACATTAAAGTAAATGCACACACTACCTTATGCCTTTAGTAAAATGCCCGATTTTTGCTTGAGAAATACCACCCCTAGTCAGTCAGTCTTATAGGGATTAGTAATATAACTGCGTATTAGACAATAGTTGAAGCTGAACTTCTAAATAGTATGAAACTGCTTTCAACTAATTCAATTTACTAATTTGAAATGGCTAAACAAATTAGGGGAATACAGAATTCCAAAGCTTAGGACACACTAAGGAGTATTCCAGAGAATGGACAGAGTTAGAGTTCTAAGGCATCTCATTCTTGCTAAGTTGAACCCGTTATTTAAATAAGCATTAAATCCTTAACACCCTACATCAAAATTTTTAACATATCACACACATATAAAAATACCAAAAAAAAAAATCTAAATAACAAAACTCTAATGTTCATCGTTCCGTTTACTTACATTCTTCTCTGCTGTAATGTGGGTGCTGGATCTGGACACTAGTCTCTGGATGAGAGATTGTCTCTTCTTTTTTCTGTGCCTGGCTGTGAGGCCACAGTACACTTTTATGGCATAAATTGGCACCTGAATCTTGTAACACAGAAAGCCCAAAGTCTGTGTTCTCCCTCTGTTCCAGAATTCTTTGTGTGCAGCTTGAGAGGCTGCCTGGACTTCCTGCTATCCATTTTGCAGAATACTTTGGTACCTGGGAGTCAAACCGTGGGAGTAACTTTTTATCTGACTTATGCTTGAAATTAAATAGGTGATGCTGGGGATTTTTAGAACACTCATTATCTGAATCCAGATCTTTATTTTGTGCATACTGTACAATCCAGTTTATCTTTTTAGTGAAAATGGTTTTAACTTCTTCATAGGTACTTTTTGAAAGCTTAGATCGCGAACAATCCTGATTTGCAATCAAATGGAATTTTTCAAAGCAGTCTTTATGGCCTCTCAATGAGCTGGTGTGCAAGAGATTAGATTTTGGTACTCCTATTAAAGAAAAGAAAAATAAACAGAAGATGAGAAATTGTTAAGTCTTTTAAAAGTTGTTTTAAGAATATACCAATTTTAGTAAAATATGCAGTGTTAATATGAGGACAAAATCTTAAATAGTGATATTAGTAATATATGGGCTAATAATGTTACTTCAATTTAATATTTTCAGTAGCATGAATTTCTTACAAATAGCAAAGTCTTCCCAAGGGTTAATAAATTCAATTTGAACCACATACTCCAGCCATATTACATATGATATAAATGTCTTTAAAAAACCTTTTTTATATACAGAATTTTGACCTTTATATTTTAAATGGTTTCTTTAATAATGTGCTTGCAAACACTTGTTTAAAAATTTCTGTCATAAAGCTCAATAAGAGACAAGTTCCACAATTTTTCTCAACAAAAAACATAGTAAATGTTATCCTTAAATTATTAGTTATATTTTTACTGGGGAACCAGAAAAATACACTTACGAAAGCCCCACACAGTTGATTTAGATTCAGTTTTTTTAAAGAAAGATTTATTTATGCATACAGAACTGGGGTACAGGCCAGAGGTACAGGAACAGTGAAAGGATTCACCAGAGACAGAGTGGGGAGCAGAACAGACAGATCGACGAAGTACACTGTTGAGGGGAGCAGCGGGCGGGTCAGGTGACTCTGCTGCGCCTTGTGGGTCACCTCCCTGGCCAGGGACTGAACTCGTGCAATGGCTGTGTCTAGCATCATAGTGCTCTGCTTTAATAACCTGTTGCACCACCAGGGAGGGCCCTATTTAGATTTACTTTTAAGAAACACATATCTACATGAAAATATTTAAGATGTTTTTCACACTTCTATTTTCAAAGTATAAAACAATAATTTCCATACATTCAAGTCACATTATTAAAGTTAACCAACAGTGTTTTTATGTTGAAGATGAATCAGACACATGGAGTTAAAAATTAATGCCTGCTAAAACTAAACCAGCTTAAAAATGCTTAGCTCTGAAAACAAAAGTAGAGAGCCATTCAGGTGCTAGAATTAAAAAAAATTAGAAGTTTTTGCCAACTCATCAGGAAAAATAAAACTCATTTTGCATTCATGCTTTGTTTTAAAAATTGAAGTCAGAACCATCTTAGTAACTGAACTCCAAACTCTGACTAATAGTAAGATAATGAAGTATTTGCACATTAGTGATAATAACTCAGGTATAAAATTGCCTGTGAATATTAATTTGTTCTAAAAAGATGTAACATCAGCCAAGACAGGACTGCTGTGAATGCCAAAGCCAGTGCTGAGTAAATGGGCTTTCTATTAGCCCTTCCCAGGTTAGCCGTGTGAGCACATCTCCTGAATACTAACATCATGAGCACAGGTGAGCAACTTCTCATAAGGTCAACTCAAATGTCTCAGCCTTGTTTCTTTCACTAGCACAAAACTGAACTTAAACAGAACCTCACAGACATTTTTGCCACAGAGTACTTTGCCACCTACATTGCAATTCTTTGTGTATGTATCGGTTATTGCCTGAGGTCAGATTTCTAGCAAAATTAGAACACTTTAAGGGAAAAAAAACCCTCAAAGCTCTTGGTTTCCATAAATTAATATGGAAAGTTCAGAAACTTTGTCGATTAGAATAAAAGTATTAAAAGTTTTGCTATTGTATATGCTTTAGATCATGAATAAGACAAAAACAGTAGTTAGTTCAAGCTGCAGAAAAAAAAAAAAGCTTCATTCTGCATTTGATTCTAATACTGCCCTGTGTAAACAGCAGGTAGTGAGAATTTGGAACGTGCTTACTACTAACTTTGGAAAGTTTATTAAGCAGCTTCTCTAGGTCTCCTTGCCAACAGCTCGCAAGCCAGTGCCCCAAACAGTGAACAGTCTTATTTGCAGCCCACTGCTACAGGGCTGCGCCAATAATTTAGATGAGTCTAAACATAGTAAATTATAAGTTTCTACTTCAGTCTATAGGAAAGAATTCTTTAGCATATAAAAAGGACTTTAAACTAGGCTACACAAAATAATTGATTTTTTGGTGGGTATTATTTAGAGACCAAAAATTGTATAAAGATTTAAAAAATTATATAAAACAAGATTTTCCTGATGTATCCCCACAGTTCAACAAGTCAATATAATTAGATGTCTATTTTAAGAATAACGTGTACTCTTAAAAGATTTCTTTATCCAGTGTTGTTTCTTAGTAATTCAAGTAAGTTTTTCATTCCTTTAGTAATTTCTCTTACCATTTGCTTAAATATCCAAACCAATGCTAGCAATACAGGTAAGTACACAATTATACTCCTGTAAGTAATCTGTTGAGATGAATCAGCACAATATTCAATAGACTAAGGCAATACATAAATTGAAAATATATTTCAAGTGTTGTAGACATTCAGAAGAAAAACTCCCCTATGAATTAAGACATGGAAAAAAAAAAAGTGTCGTGAGCAAGAAGAGTTCTGAATACCTTGTACATTTCCACCTTCCTGTAGGCTTCTCAAACTCACCCTTCCTTAAACAACTCTTCCTCTCAGCTAACTACTCAAATCCCAACTGTAGAATTTTCTGAGTCTGGTAATCCCACTTCAAAGAAGAAATCTGGCTGTCTTTAGTGAGAAAACCTCCCTCTTCATCTCCACCTCAGAGGTCTTACTGTCCATCTTTAAAGCTATTTCCACCCATAAAATTTAGCACTTATACGATCTCAAATCTTTCTGCTTCACTATAATAACCACTCCCATTATATACTATCTGGGTCATCAGTCATCTCCTAAATTTTATTTTTTATTTTTTTTCCTAAAATTTAGAAGACTTAAAAAGTCTTCTCCAACCAATATAGCTGAGTTAGCTTACCAACCAGATTTTCAAATTGCTACTGTACTGGCCTTTATCTCCTTTTAGAAGTCAAGTTCTCTGAGAAAAAGGACCACATGTTTTACATGTATTGTTAATGTGATAGTGCCCAGCAATTAGTGGATACTCAAGAAAGAGTAGTTAAGTGAATAAAGAAACATTAAAATTATATTAAAAACACCAAAACCAAAGTTATTACCAGTTATCCAGGATCTACTACAATGACATTTTGCCCATCTTACCAAGGAAAGCAGCAGCACATACTTTTTTTTTTACCTATGCTTAGAGGATAATTAAAGGCATCTTCCTGTGAGTTTACTCCTATATTGAGTTTAATGGGGCTACTAGTCTGAGGAACTGACATGCAGCAGTGACATAAAGACATCCTGTAGGACCGTTCAATCTGCCAAGCAAAATGATGAACTTCTACTCAGTTATATATTATAAAAGATATTTACATACACAATATACACGGTGGTTTTATGTAAACTGCAGCTCATTTTTCCAGACCTACACTTCTACTTTCTTCAGCCCACTAAATGCTTAAAACAAACTGAGTTTTAAAGTTCAATTTGAAAATACTTGTTTTTTCTTTTAAGATTTATTTATTTATGCATACAAAACTGTGGTACAGGCCAGAGATATGGGGGGTGAGAGGATTCACCAGAGGCACAGTGAAGGCAGAACAGGAGGACGGACTTCAGTACATTGCTGAGGGGAGCAGCGGGCAAGAGGTCTGCTGCGCCACGTGGGTCTCCCTGGCCGGGGACAGAATTCATGCTGCAGTGGCTACAGATGGCCCTGAAAATACTTGGTTTATAAGCATACGTTAAAACATCCCATTTGGGGGCAGAGGAAATAAAAAATTCAAGAAATAAACACATGACTATGTCATATACTTGAACAAATTACTTTTTAATCTAGAAAACAATGTGAGTAGCCAACTTAATTTGTATCAGCAATAGATGTCATTTTATAAACTTCTGAAGTGATTTTGCTTTTCCACATCATCAGTTTGAATTAATGTAAGAAAAACAACCATTGCTATTATTAGTGATCTCAGTGAGTTTCCCAACTGACTTTTCAATTTTAATTGCATTTAAAAGTGTAAACAGTTCTGAGCACTAGTTTGTTTCCTCAGCAGTTTTTGAAAGGAAACAAATTTAAATGCAATTAAGTAAGTTGATATTTTTGAGGAGCTGAGTTGTAAGGAATTTCTAATCAGTTCAGCAAAACTTGCACTACTTTACCAATAAAAAATTTAAAGACCAATGAATTGGTACATTGACTATCATGGAAACATCTTTAAAACATATCTCACAGATAGTCATGTAACTACTTTTTTTAACACAAGGTCATTATAATTAAAGAATCAAAACACTAACTGGCAACAATAATTGCTGATATTTTAAAAGTACTAGGTTCTCCATGATTACAGCCTGTTTCAAAACTTACATATGCACTATATTTCTGTATAGTAAGTAGTATTTTAAAAATTCAAATTCAATAGCTTTTTTCTTTATCTTTTCCCACTTTTACCTTTGATTTTATTATGCCATTCTCATATACTTTGAAAGCACTCCCACTAACCCATCTGGCATGCTATCCCACTTTTATTCTTTAAATCTCTTTATTCTTAAAGAATTTGTTAAACAGTTGAGGAGCAAAAGTCACTCAAATGTAGATCTTCATTTACTTACCTTTTAAATAAGGGTAATATTCAATCTATCTATTAGAGCAACATATTTTGTTCTCTAATGATACCTCAGTGGCACTAAGAATAGTTATTTAATTTCTACCATGTCCCATTATTTTTGGTGTTCACTCCTAGCTCCTTCAAGACCTTACTTATGATTCTGTGATAATGAGGTAAGCTAAGCAATCTTTCCTTGATGGTTTACCAGTGGATCCTATCAATATCACAGCATCTCTCAGCTGACTGTTCATGCTACATGGCTTTATACTTCACACTTTCTTGAGTATCATTTGATTGCCTTATGTATGTTTACTTGTCAATCTGACATGATCGTAAATTTGGGGACTATTTCCTTTCCAAATTGCAGGAATGAATTGCTTTATATAATTTATTGCTCCACAGATAAAGCAATAAACATTTAACATAACTTGCATTTGGATGTCACGCTCCCATACACG